CGATTCGTTACGGATGTTTTTTTACGAAATTCATCACAGTTGTAAAAGGCAGTCGTTTGATAAATATTTTATCAGACACAGCGTGAGAAGATTAAATAAAGGTAGGAACCTATCAATAATACGTCTTTTTATGTATCAAATTTATTAACGTAGTCTTCCGTATAAATGAAACATCAAAGCCATATTATACGATACACTGGTTACCGGTCAACTCTATCGATCGGATTGGTCCGTGCTGGATTTTGTCATGTATAAAATAAGTGTCGATTAATAATTTCATTGATATTGACTCTCATCTTGCTTTTTGCTTTGAACTAACCATATCTATGATCACTTTATACACACACGCATATATATATATTATGTTTTAAGCCCTAATCGGCTAAATCTCAATTTGTGAGTCTAACCGGGGTAACGGTGTTTGATGCAGTATCTAGGAAACCCCCAATTAATAAAAAATAAAAACTTATTTTTTTTTTTTTTTTGTATAAACATGATATTAATTATTGGAGGTATTAGATGTATAATTATATTATATAGAACCATATTATTAACTTCTGTACACCTGACTATCCGGACTAATAATATTATACTTAACAAAAATAAAACCATATAACATAAAATCTATACTGTCGAAAGTCTATCAAAAGCAATGTAAAATTTATGAAAATACGATAAACCTATGTGTCATAATTTGACGTTTCAAAATAACGTGACCTTTAAAGAAAGTATTCAAAACTTTAATGGACACTGTCCTTTTATTCCCAATTTAACTAGTCATTATCACTTTACACCATAACCACTATCGTCTATCAATCAAAACAATAAGTGTGTCTTCCTCGAAAATCACGTAACTCATGTACTGCACATTATAGTAATGTGAATATTAATTGTATTGATTATTTGTTGTTTCATTTTTGCGAAAATAAATTTAACTATTCGAATATTTCAGAATAAAACACCCTTGTTTCAAATTAATTAGGCTTGTGTGAATTATTAGTTTTAATTTTGAAATAGACAGTTATCGGGTAAAAATATTGCCTTTTCAGATTTATACACAATTAACCATTGTAGATACATACGTCATACATATTATACAAATTATTCGTTAGACTAAATTCTGTTTTTTATATAACTAATTATGCATTTCACCGTAAATTTAAACAGTTTTTTTTTAAATTTATTTACTGAGATAACGGTGTATATACACTTATAGTTGGGATCAATTATACATATTATGTCACGTATAATCTTAAGTGTTTGATACACATTGTATATTTCTTCACACTATCATCCCATTAATAAGTATATTGATAAATGATTTGAAATTAATCACTCAATAAATGAAATACAACAATTTTTTCTGTTGTAGTTTATTGATAAACAATGATAATGAAATACCTAGTTGTTGTTTTTATTATTTTACGGTGCTAATCGGTAACTGTACTATAATGATTTAAAATTTATTTTCTCATTTTATCTGATGATTATGCATTCAAAGGACATTTCATCTTTTGAAACATTTGTTGAATCGTTCACTATGATTCTGCTACATCATAGACTTCCAAAATTGTAATATTGTTATGCGAGATATGATTGGTTACATATACAAAATGGAGAGAGTTTTGGACTGGAATTGTTAGATATAGTTAATACTTGATACTTTCGCCAAAACCCATACCAGGTACTGTAGTTTTAAGGAGAAGTTTGTAGATAAGTAGTTTGATTACTAATTTAACGTGTTTTGAAATAATTAGTTATGGGAGATTGCGGAATCTGTTGTTAATATGAAAATGCACACATGAAACGTATTTTAAAATCCAATTGAACATGTCTTATAAAAAACATAAAAACTCCAGTATTAACCTTTAAATATCATCGATTGTTTTTTAACTGAACTAATACACACAACGAGCAGTTCTAGTTTAACCCCACGAGGCATTAAATAAAGCAAACAAAGTTTTAAAATAACAAGTTATTTAATCTACTGTTGATTGGTATTAGTTGTGTTATAGACATTTAATTTAGTTATATTTGATAATTTTTTTTTTTTTTTTTAATCTGTTATTATCGATTTAATAATAAATTCACAAACAATTTTCAAACACATTATTCGTTCATGAAACATTTTGGTTGTATTAATTGATTTAAAAACTTATGTTATATCGAATATTAATGAATAATGATTATTATTTTAATTTAAAAATATTATTGTAAATATGTTGACTTCAGTATCAACCGTCTATGTTTATTTAATAATTATTTGTATTGGTTATATTTCATTAATTTCAATTTATTTTATAATAATTAATAAAATGATCACATTTTGAAACAAAGCATTTTTAATATTATAAAAATACTATTGGTACTTTAATTTGAAATAATTTAATTATTAAATTATCTTTAAGTATTTTTATCTTGCAATAAAGAAAATTAAAATCCTAATTCAATATAAACACGCTAATGCAATATGTACACCCATTTGTATACTTAAAATAATTATAGTAATCCATTAAAGAATAAAGTGCAAAAAAAATATGAAAAGCTCTTATCAATTTATACCTGAATGAATATATTTGTTTGTTTTATTAGATCATTTAACTAAATATTTAAAGTTTGTAAATTTACTTACTGATTACTGGATTTAATGTTTAATAATTCTAACTTATTCCATTATAGTCTGAAAAATAAAATAAGACTTGTTAATTGTGTTAGATATTTATGTATAATATTATTTAAAAATTGTATAATATTGTAAACAAATTTAATTAAATTAATTTACAACCTTATTATACTATAACAGTATACAATTTTCTCATAATAGATATTAAGTAACTTATTATTATACTAGGTGCCGATAATATAGTGGTTTTTAACGCAATTATAAACGTTTTAGTGTAGAGATACCTACTTGATAAAATTGACGAATTTTCTAAAATTGTATTTAAAATTTAACTTAGATAGTAACTTTTCATTAATAATCTAGACTTAAACTTAAAATCAGAATTGTTTTTAATTATTATAATCCTATATGATATAACAATGTCTAGAAATTTTGGAAATTCTGATTTAAGAACCCTGAAAAACATACTATTTGAATCATTAATTTAACTTATACACTGATTAATAATGAATATATCCTCATTGTATAAAGCTTATTCTAAAATACATTTGGGTTAAATGAGACATTTAAATACCTGCTTAAAAATGAAAATTTTCTGTATATTTGATATTTTTATTATTAATAAACTATTTTAAAAAGTAAATTTCTACCAAAGTATAATTCAAATTAATTTCTATTATTTTATAAATTAAAATACGCTTATACGAGTAGATTGATTCCAAAAATTGTTAATTTGTTATTTAACAATCAAAGCAAACAGCCTAGGATTATTCTTAGTAGCCTTAATTGAATTAAAAATTAAAATATCGTAAAATACCAACGTACAAGTACAGTTAATATTTTTACTTTATCTTTAAATTGTATTATATTATAGGCTATCATCATAATAAATTCACTTTAAAATTAAATCTAACTACACAAAATTGATTCTGCTGGACACAAATCGAAATCATTTCCTATACAATAACACAACTGCATATCATACTTTTGAACACGCACCAAATAGAAGTCACCAATACTGTAATATTAAAATATTAAATATCCTTAATTAACTATAATTTGACGTTATTGACGTAAATTTACCAATATTAAGCAGGTAATTAGTTTATATCAAATTATAAATACTTTTACCTTTAAATATTTTTATTTTTAATTATTTTTTGAGAAAATATTAATTAACCTATTAAAATTACACACAAAGTTATTCTCTTATTCATAATTCTCATCTAGAATAATTGCTTTTTTTTTTTAATAAGATTGTATGCTAGCTATTTATTATTATTATTATTATTATTGTTTATTTTATAATTTATCTATATGTATCTTGGTTCATCATATTGAAAAAAATTGATGTGAAAGAAATCTGAAAATATATTTAAATTTGTTATAAAGTTCAATCGAGATTGATTATCTCAGTTAATCAGATCTTAACTCTTTTTCTTGCCTTTTCCTTAAGTTCAATTTAAAAATTTACAAATTTAAGAATATTTTTTTAATATTACTTATTTAATGGACAACATGTTATTTTATACAAAAGTACGTAAGTACTTTTAATAGTTCCATACAATAAAATATAATTAGAGCTACCATTGTTTTCTCAATCCACATGTTTAGGTTTGATATATTCATAATAATATTATTATTTATATTATGCAAGACGTATACACTGTAAAACGTTACAAAATATGACTATATAATAAATAAAACTCATTTTGTTATTCAATAATATATAAAAATTAATTAAAACCAAGAAATCTGTGATATACTTTAATTGCTTTGTGGTTTATTTAAAATTATGATTAGCTCTCATCAACTATTTAAAGCTCGGGTGGTATTCATAAAAATACATTATGCATTAAGTTCACTTGAGTAAAAGTAAATACAGTATACGGCATACATATTATGGTTCAACTGTAATATTCCATTGCGAAACAAGAGTTCGCTTTGCATAAAACATTAACTATTTATAATAGCTGTTATTATAACTCACTGTGTTTTATTTAAATATATATATATATATATATGTATATATTAAGGTAAAACAAATATTGTCTGTGCTTTATTTGAGGGTTATTGATATGGTAAAAGGATAATAAAGAATAGATTTGTTGTAATCATTTACCAAATAACATATGCAGATTTCAAAAACAAATAGTGTTTTCTCACAAACATAAATTTATTACATATAGGTAAAACTTTGTAATATACCTGCACCCGAAGTATCGAGTTATGTTTGATTCAATAGAAAATAATGTGTTACGTTTAATAATTTTTCGTATTTTTTTTTTAAATTTAAAATGTTTTTTTTAAAATCAATCAGTGCTTTGGCGATCTATCAACTGCAGCAGTTACTCTCTTGCCAGTAAGCAACTAAGCGATGAAACAGCGTTGCAATATGGCGGTAACCGCTACTACCGTGTTATTAGTCACTGTGGTCATTCGTTGCACGGCCGGTTACGACATACTGGCAATATTTCCGTTTAGCGGCAAAAGCCATTTTCACATGTTCCGTACTGTTTCGGACGCCCTGGCAGAACGCGGACACCATCTTACCGTTGTCGGACACTTTCCCAAGACACCGCAACAATCGCGAATTGGTACCATCAATGACGGCAATATCAGAGGTGAGGGACATGGGTCTTACACTGATTACAGTATATTCGGCTCGATGCCGATATATGAGAACTTCACTACTGACGAGGTGACAGGCAATGGTTATCTAGAAGAGATGCTAATAATCTTGCAGGATGGTTTGGATAACTGTGAGTCAGTTTTATCTTCGGGCAAACTTGGCCAGCTCATTCAGTCCCAGGCAAAATTCGATTTGGTCCTGGTTGAGGTAAGTGTATGCTCATAATATACACTATACAGCTATATAAATCATTTTTAATATAATATTGTTACGACATACAAGATTATTTTATAATTGATTTACCAAAGTCGAGAAAATCCCCGTTGACGAAGTTGTTGTTTCTTAAACAATATGATTAAATACTGTATTTGTTGTAAATTTATGAGTATTAAAAACACAAAAAAGAAAAAAGTTATTTAAATCTATGGTTCAGAATTAGATATTTTACGAGTTGGACGAAGTGGCGCCTTTAAGTTTCAAAACAAATTCTAATAAATCATTCAATTTGTTGCAATGGAAAACAGATTTTTTTCTCGGTTAATTTGAAAGTGGTATCAGTTTTATTAAAAGTAGATGCTATTTTACATACAACTTTGTATAATCATTCATATACTGATTTTAACCATCACAGTAACTTTGAAAATGTAATACAAAATTCCCAATAAGATTTGTATTCAATAATTTAAATAATATCGAAAATACATTATTACAATACTTTTTTTTACACGCGCATTTAAATTTAGAAATTGGACAACATTTTTAAAATATTTAAATAATTTGGTACTTGGAAATTTCTAAACATTTTTTTTTATATTTAAAATCTGATAATTTAATACAATATTTTTCTATGCTATAATAAAAAAAAAAATTACCGAAAAGTCAAGATAAGATTTTCATGAGTGTTTGAAGTTTTATGACATTGGATATTCAGTATTCGCCTATAAAATAACTATTTCTCTTCAAACAATTTTAAACATTTTGTAGTAATTCAAAAACGAATAGGCGTAGATACTTTAAATGTTCACCACATATTTACATATCATATTTTTTCATACATAATACAATTTTTGAAATATGTGAGTACCTGTGAGACCTTCTCACATATTTTTTAAGTGTAGACTAAATCTAAAATATAATGTTAAATCAATATGTTTCTTAAGATCTTTACAAGGTTTGATTTGTCTATTCTATATCTAAAATGAATTGTATCATAACCTGAAACCATTACACAGTATATAGTATCTACTATATAGTACCATACTAATGATTTTGTTAAAGTGATCATTTTTTATTCTAATAATAGCTATTTTGATTCCTGAAAATCATATGACCATGTGAATAATATAAAATATGTTAAAATAGATAAAAAAATATTTAATTTAATTTCGATGATAATAAATATCAATACAATTCTATTAAAAATATAATAAGAAAACAATATTGTATAATGTATATATTTTTTTTTTAATCGAGTTTCTAACATTGCTATTGGTTTTTGTCCTTTTTAAATTTAATTTTAAATCGTTCTAAAATCATGATAGTAAATGGTATGCAGTTTACAGTAACTTATTTGAAAATTTTACAACGAAACAATAGAAAATAATAAAAAATAAAATGTGTTCAAAGTGACACAATTAAGTTTTAAGAGTAAATTTTTGGTATAAAAGTTTTGTAGGTCATATATACTTCCTAGGTGATTTAATGTCGTGAATTTCAAGTTCCACTACCTATTCAATACAGATTTCATAATTTAAACTCGAAGTCTTAATACTAAATCAGATATGTACAGTGCATTCATGCAATAAAATTTAATAGTATGTTTAGAGTATAAAAACCAGAGAAGACGTCACACTATATAGTATATAATAGCTTTAAAGAGTACCTCATCATTGAGAAAGTCAGTGATATATGATAAATTAATGTATACAAAAAATTATTCTTAATGGAGAATGGTTTATGAATTTCTGAGGATAATTTATAGTTTAATTTATAATGTAGACATTGTACATTAATTTTTCTAATGGTTTTTCAATTGATTGAGAAAAACATCGAATATAACATATTATTATTATATTACCTACAATATATTATTGTTGTTATTAACTTATAAGTCAATATTGCTTACTAAAGATAGGTGTAATTAAGTTTGTGAAATAAATACCTAGTCTAAATATTCTAAAAATTTTATTGTAACCAAAAAATAATAATAGTATATTATAAAAAAATGTTCAAGTCTTTGCGAATATTACTGTTTGAATTACAACATAATAACTAAAATCATTATTTTTTATTAAATCTAATTTAATAATAAAATTTAAACTTAAAATTTTTATAAAAAAAAAATAGAAATAAATTGCATGTAATATATATTTTTAAAATACTGTAAAAATAATACACGAGGAACTTTTAATTAATTTTATAAACTTTTCGTACAAGAAAAATTGAAAATAAACCAAATCTAACCTAAAAATAAATAATAAAAAATATAAAAATATACATTTACAAACAACTTTACAAGAAACAAAATATCTTAGAAGTGTTTGTGTACAGAAAACATATTTTATAAATACTTGTATTGCGTAAATAAATCAGTTTTTCTATTTCTCTATTTTATTTACTTATTTCCACCTAAAATATTAATTAAATATAATTTTATAACAGAAACTCCCTCAAAGTTGAAAATTAAGATATTTTTACTCCAAAATTTGATAATAGACTAAAATAACATACATCATTGTATAAAATACTCATTCATCACTCAAAATCTAAAAAACTATTTATTAGCATCGATTATTTGCATTACTTAATTATTTAAAGGGAATTTTTAAAAGTTCTAAACACGATTCAAGTATTACCTTCGACATTGTAGGTCAATATTTCGCTGAATATTTCATGAGATAATTTTAGTGTTAGTAAAAATGATCGTCAATTTTAAAGTAGAAAAATTCGAAGCTAATAAATATATATAATATATTATACATACATTGTAGTTCTGTTAAAAATATAAATTAATATGCATCAGTAATACAATGTGTTGTAAGAAACTTTCCAGACATTCGCTATTGCATAAAAAGTGCACTATTAAGTTACTTCAATTTAATTTATTTAAATATCCTATGTGTAGTTAACACTGTAGGTAAATTTGAAGTTAAAAAAACAAAATTGGTCAAATATCTTTCACCCATCTATAAAAATAAATTTAAATCTATTATGTTTTTGTACTTTAATTGTATATAAATATAATAATAATAATTTACTTTGTAATAATATATAGATATATAAACTATAAATAATTTAAATAAAAATTTACAAATACCATATACATTTTAAAATTAATCCAATTATTATTTTCAGCCTTGACTTATCTTTAGATAATATAAATAATTTTAAATAAACATGTGATTAAAAATTAAAAATATAAACATCTAAAGAATTTAAATTCAACAAAATAAATGTATTTAAATTCAATAAATTATAATAATTATATTATTTCTAGTTATTTTATGATTATTCATATTTTATTAAAACGGCTAAATCACTAATAGTTTGATTAAATTTATAATACTTTTAGCATTCATAGATTCTTATAATTATATATTCACATATTTTTTTCCTAATATTTGTAATATAATTATTATGAAATATTATAGTTTATTTAATTTATTATTTATTATCAGAGTATTTTAATATTTCAAGTTTGATTAAACCAATAACGCGTTTGTTAATCTTATTTTATAACGATTCAATTTTTAATCGATCTAGCTTTATTATACATTCGAAATTAATGGTTTACGGTTTACATTGAAAATTCAGATATCGTGTATTTATGTCCCATTGCAAAACAATGTTTTAAGCACTTAGTTAAAGCAAAATCGAGTTTCACAAATTTAAAGTCTTATCCCTCGACAAAGTATGTTTTCATATTGACATTGTTCATAAGACCAACAATATAAATAATGTAAAGTGTACAAAGTTGGTGATTTTAGAAAAATATAAACCGTATAATACAAATCTATAACATTTACAACACGTGGTATAATATTCTTCCAACGATTTTATTTTATTTTTATCAAGATTGAAAAAAAAACTTGAAGCGTTATTTTTAACGAGATTTCGGGGAATCGGAGAAAACGATAACATACAAAATACCTATAATATGTAACATAATATACTAAATTGCATAAAATGTAGATACGTTTTGTATAAAATAATATTATAGTTTTGTATTTACAGACACGTGTTTTATTAAATTAACTACATTTTAACACCAACAATACAATATATAATGTTTGACGTGTCCAGTGATATAATATATTCCCGTGCATTACAGAATACGTGAAACATGAGTATTACAAAATTGTGTTTCACATTGAGTGTATTATATTGTTATTATATTTTAAATAAATAGTTTTTTCACCAATCATATGATTATCGATCATAAAAATATTGACTTGCAGCAGCCAACAAAAAATCTATTAACAACTTAACAAAATGTATTTTTCATTTAATATCACATAACAAAAATGTATAAGTCTCTAATGGTTAAATAGTAAATTTTGCAATTGCTTTTTACGAATAAACTAAAATTATGAGACTTATTTAAGTAAACAATATCCTAATAATATGTTTTATTGTTATTTATTTATTTTTTTCGAACAAAAAACTGATTTTAAAATTACAATGATATTGTTTATTTAAATATTCATACAAAAACTGCTTATGAGACAATATAATTTTTAATTAAGTTAAAGGTGACGTGAAATTTTACGGTAGACTAAAATATATGACATGCAAAAAGTTTATCGATTTTGTATAAAATGTAGTAATACAAATGAAAATATTATAACATAAGTATTATAACTGTTTATAATGTAAAATTATCCGATAAATTTAAATTTAAAAACAAAAAAAAAAACTAAGCTTATAAAACACGCATGACCACACCCGTGTAAACATGCAAACCATAGAAAATAATAAATATCTCCACCTGAAACTCTTCTCCACCTCGTAGGTAAACTAGTCGGTCACTACGGTATGTCTAAAATAATAGGTTAGTAAATGATTTATCTGATTAATAATTACATTAGAATAAAAAAAGTTAGGAAAAACACACTTGTCGACTGAATTAAATATCCTACAGGATCTTTTACACGCCTTGTAAAAAAATATTAAAATAAAAATTTTTAGTTAAAATACACGATAATCTT